ATGCACAGAATGCTCTGGAAACTCTTAAATGGAGACATTTTATTTCCAAATAATCACAGGAGTAACTGTTGGTAGCAAAAAAGATGATTAATGGCATTGTGGCCAAAGTAAGGTAAGTCCCTAAACTTGACAGCATATTATTTGCATATTATGTCGATGTTAGAGTTTCTCACACTACCTTTGTTTATTTTTACTGGATGAAGCACAAGAAAAGCATGATGCTCACTTAAATCTCCACAAATCCAAACATCTGAAGCTACATTGCTCCATTTTCCTGGCTCTGTTCCTCTCTGAAGGCACGCTGCTTGCATGCTCCCTCTCGTTTTTCCCATGAACTACAGGGTGTAGGCCAAAATACCCTTTGCAACTGGTAACTCCTAGGCACACTGGGTTCCAGTTAATATAACAACTGGACATTTCATAATGCTTGAAGCATCCGTGGCATGAATAAGATCAGTAGGAAATATAAGGAGCAATTTGTGTTTTCCACAGGGTCAATTTTATTAAATTTGGTGGAAATATCATACAATGACCAAGGAAGTTACATGGAAAACTGATTCTGACCCCCATGACAATACTATCAGAGTGGCATGTAGGACATGCTTGGATGTGCAAAGGCTGAGCACCTCTCTGTGCACTGGCTCAGGGAGGTTCTTTACTTGGATGATCATGGGCAGTGGTTGCAGCATTGCATCCCTATCAGAGGTTTGTGACACTGACTGGCATGTGATTCTGTGAGAAAACCAGCTGGATCTTTTAGTACCCAGTCACCTGGGAACCTGCCTTGGTTTCCTGGAGCTGAAGGCACAAGCCAGTTCATTAGAAGCAAAGCTGGAGGACCCATCTTGGCAACTGCTGGGTCAGTGGTTACCTCCCCTCCTGCCAGCATCGCTGACTGATGGACAACTCAGCTTTCCATTTCTGGGAAAACAACCTTCTGTCTGATCATGCACTGACATCCTGCAGCACTGAGCAACAACTCAGCAGCAAGGAAAGCATCCCTGGGAGCCAGGCTTAGGGAGCAGTCTGAGGGTCACTGGACCAGCACCGGTGATGGGTGCTGGCGAGCAGGACCCGCTGGGCTGGTGGCAGCAGCCACCCTGCAGGTGGTAGGTGCCAGGGCAGTGCTGATGGCACCCAGATGTGTGCCACAGCTGTCCCTGTGGGCACAAAGCAGCTCCCCTCGGCCAAATAAGGAGGGAGAGGCATCTCAGCTCCACATGCCCATTGCATAATTGTAAAATATGCCTGTAATACAATTGAGTCAGAGGCAATTATTGCTGCAGCACAGTTGCTTTGGGAAGCCTTCCTCTTGTAGGCTGAACTGCAACTATCAAATCTCTGTTGGTTTGGCTGAAAAAAGATGGCAGTGATGTCTTTTCACTAAAAAGGATTGTTTCCCACTTTGCTGTGATTAAAAAGAAATACAAACTAGCCAAACTCATTCTTTAACAAGACTCTCTGAAAATGGAACATTTTTTTGACAAAATAACTGCAATTCAAACTGCAGCAGCCAGTGCTGTGCCTGCTTTGGTACCCAGCCAGTGAATTTTCCAGTAAACACCCTCCAGGACTGTTCTCCATTTGGATTTATTAGTCATTACCAAGAAAAGATAATTAGCACTTGTGAACCATTGTGATAATCAGGAGCACGAAGTGTTTCCAATAGAAACGGATGGGGTCCGTGCGTGGCGCGGGATCCGCCGTACTCCCTGTACGGAATGAGCGCGGGGTGGGCAGACCTCAGCTGGGAACGCTCGGAACCAACTGCTCCAGTGGCACTAATGACACTTCACAGGGGATAAGGCAGGGAGGGGAGCTGTTCCCTGGCCTGTTGGGCTTCTCCTTCTGTTATCCTGGAGGCAGAGTCACTCTTGATACAATATGCAATCCTCCTTGTTGGTCAAAGGCAACGGCACATACCACTCCTTTACTGCACAACAGGAAAACAGAAGGTAATTATTTTTTCTTTTTGCATGCACTCTCCCAAAAAATGGAAAAGAACCTTGTGGTGGAACAAGAGGACCGTGATACTTTAGGCAATGATGTGGGCTTTTTATCTTCCTCTTTCAAAACTAATGAATGAGAAAACTCTGTTAAGACTCAAGTCAGTGCTAAAACTTGCAGAACTGGTTCCCCAAAGTTATTGCTCCCCAAACTTCCATTACTTATGATCTGTAATATTCATATGAGACAAGGGATGTAGATCTTCTGTTCTTAAATCTCAAACCCTGAGCATTAAGCATGCCAGGCTTCCCTGCCACGCCTATTACTGAGCTCAGGGAAGTAAGTCTATCAGATTTATCAACATTGCTATCTAAATAAATACTACAATACATAGGATTGTCTGAAGCAGTTGTCTTTGTTTTTCTGAATCTGGAAGTGTGAACAAAATCCATGCTGAGTGAGAGAGGTAGCATGTAAGTGTTTGGGAAGACTTCTGTTTTGCTGAGCATGATTAACAAATATAGCTGGAGGATTCACCCCCAAAGTACTTGTAAGTCTGCAACAACCACTCTCTTTCCTGCATTGTACAGAGCATTTCAAGCCCTTCCAGCCAAGAGGTACTTTGCATCCTCTGGGAAGCAGGCAGGAAATCTCAGGATTGAGTCCAGTATGTATGCAAAGTACTTAGTGTGCAATTGTTGTGAGTGCTGTGGTGTGGTGAGCTGGTAGAGGGGTACATAGCCCTCTAATTCCTGGTGATTATGGCCTTTAGTAAGGCACATCTTCCCTGCCACAGGTAGAGCAGAGGCTCTTAGGACTGAGATTCCAATGCCAGCAACGCTCATTAATGCACACAAGATGGGACCACCCTGGCAACATCTGACTTGTTGATGCACTCAAAGTATTCATTAATGTTTGCCCCTCTTCCAGGAAGATGAGTGCTGTGGCAAGTCTGATTACCATCAGGATGAAGTTTGCCTGATCACAACAAACGTGATGGGCTGCTGGCTGTTCACAAGCTACGCGTGCAGGAGCAAATGGATCTGTGAGTGTTTGCTTTTCAGCTGCTGCTGGGAAACAGGCACCCTCCTGCCAGGCACAGCCCAGCCACGTTACAGACCTCTTAAAGCAGCTCCTGGGTGGCAGAGGTGGATGCACAGCTTGTACTCCAGTAGCTGCCCAGGGCATAGAAGTTGCTATGGCAGTGCTGTGCAAACACACATGGCACAAGGGAGCGGCGACTCCGGCTCTGTGCCTCACACAGAGGGCTCGCTCCCACCCCGGGAACTGTGGGGCTGAACAAACACCAGAACATAACATCTATCTATATATATATATATATATATATATATATATATATATATCTGCTTAAGTCTATTCTCAGATTGCATCTGACTGTGAAACTGGGCTTAAAACACCTGGGTAACAATTTACATATTATGTTAACAACAGCATCTCTCCCCCTCCCCTTCCCTCTTTCCCCCCTGCAGTGCAGAGTGAGCCGATTTCAGAGCATCCTTTGCAGCAAAATGTATCTTGCTGCATCTTTTTGTCTTCATGAAACTCCTTTAATTCTGCTACTTTAACACCTACTCCTTCCTCTGCTGCTGGTGCTATTGCAAAAAGGAATGTGGCTGGGGAACACCGTCTCCTAGGAAACCTGCCCCTGGCCTAAAAAAGTCCTTTTGGGTGCCTGTGTGGCACTGCAAAGCCAGAGGACTCGTGGGCTGAGCACCTTCCACGGCTGGGCTGCTTTCACCTGGAGTGAAATCAGCCTACATCAGATCTGGAATCCCTCAGTGAACAGATAAATAAGCTGGGCTATTGCATCTGCATCATTAAGGGGAAAAAATAAAAATATTGGCCTGGAGTGCACCAGGCTGCTGCAAGGAACCTGAGAGCAGTGTGCTTCCCTTGGTGCAGGCATCCTGAGGGAAGGCTGGGGGTGGGATGGTGTGGGCTGGGAGCAGCACAAGGGCCCAGCTCTCCATTAGCCTGCAGATTTCCAAATAACTGTAAACAACACTGACTTCAAGTCTGCTGCCAGAGCCTCAGGCTCTGTAAGAAACAACCCCATCTTATTTATTGCCTGAGGATATTATTATTTCCAGAGTGAACTAGTTGTGGATCACAATACTCGGCAGAATTATAGTACAAAATGTGCTTTAGTGCAAACTTACTTAGTAAATAGTCGCAAATCTTTGGACAAAAATGGGCGCAAAGCCCCAACCTTTTTTTATTTTTTGTAGAAAAGTGCAGCAAATTGTTGCATCTTCTTTATCTTGGGACTGGTCTGGTCAGGGCTGGCTCTTGTGTGACAGCACAGTCCAGCTCCAGCTCACTGCCAAGGCCCTGGGGAGGTCACACAGAGCTGAGCAGCAGCTCAGCAGGGGCTGTGCCAGCTGTGTCCCCTCCCTGGCCGTGCCAGCCATGGGGAGGCTGTGTGCATCAGAAGCTCCTCACTATTACACCTGATAGGAGATGCAAAATGATGCCACTGAAGGCTCAACTCTGTACCTCTACTGTGAAATTTCTATGGACAATCCAAGTATTTCGTTTTAAGAAAGAAGCAGTTCATATACACATATACTGCCTTCAGCACACTTTCCCTTAAAAGACTGCTGCCTTCTTTTGCATCATCAAAAGAAGGATATGAAAATGTTTTGTGCCAGGATTGGTAATGTGGCAGAGCACAGAGTTCAGTCACTATATACTGGTAAACACTATATTCCTCACTAAACTGATGCAATAGGTGATTAATAAGAATGAAGCTCAGAGCTTATAATTAGTTACGTCATGTAAGGCCTTTCAATAAATATGTAAGTGGAGATATTTATGTGTTTTTAATACTAGTTCAAGTGTGAACTGATTTAGTCTTTGGTCTTACTGCTTTTGTGAGTTATACTGCAATAGCAGCTTTATTTTTAAAAAAAGTATTTTTAATTTAAAACTAAAATTTAATTTTAAGTTGATCTAAGTGCTACACTAAATATAGTGAGCATATACAGTATATAAAAGCAAGGCAGGAAAAAGGATTATCAAAATAGATGAAATAATTTTGTAAACAGCATATATTGTATGTCTATTTGGTGCAAGTGTCATTCTTGTCCTGTCAGATCTGTGGGGAGACAGCCACATACCTAAACACAACTTGCTCAAATTAGTTGGTGAATTTGCTCCTATTTAGAACATTTCTGGGCTTTAATTCAGGGCTTGGGGGTTTTATTTTCAACCAACACTGAAAGGTGCAAGTGCTTTGAACAACTGTACCCTAGCATGATCTTTCTACAGTCACCTTGAAGCAGCACTTTGAAATAAGCCTTGCTATTAACTTGAACAGGAGGTTAGCCAGGCACCTGTGAAGAAAAAGGCATTCTCTGTTCTTGCCTGCTGCAATTTCTTCTTCAGTTTGGCTTGTCTAAGCTAAGCCTGTAGACCTGAGCCCCATCCTGGAATTACTTAGCCCAGTTCCAGGTTACAATGGCACTTTTTGTTGGGCTTCTTTGTTTATCTGCTTGGTTTTGGTGTCTGTCCAGGCAATGCAAGTGCTCAGAGCTGCGGGGAGCAGCTTCAGAGCTCCCTGGGTATGACAGTGAATGGAATGACAGGACTGCTGGATTCAAGGTCCAGGGCAGTGAGGAAACATTCGATGGCTGCTTCGTTTTTCCCCTGAGCCTGCAAGACCTCTCCAAGGCTGTTCCAGGCAGTGTGGCTGGTGGTCTGGATCCGGATGGCGTCTCTGAGGACCTTCTGGGCCAGCTCCCTCCGCCCAAGTCTGCTCAGCACCAGGCCCTGCCAACAAACAAGTGATGGGCAGTTAACAACAGCACTCAAGAGAGGAAGAAATGGAGCACCCCAAGCTCCCACCAAGCTGCCTTGTGAGAGCAGGCACAGGAGTCCTATGGAATAAAAGTGATCAGTTGTTAAGTTCTGTGGTTTTTGATTGTGATGCGCTCCTTAAAAAGCAATTGTGAAAATAATTTTTTTAAAAGCAGATTCAGATTCAGCTCTGCAAGTGCTGCTGCTGTGTGTTACTGGGAGAGTGTTTACTGGTGCTATACACAAGAAAGGTTAAAGGCCCTTTAAGCATCCCTCTCTCCTTGCCCAGAAAATATACACAGCTTTGACTACAGCCAGTCTCTGAATTCATTCCTGCACATCTGCAACACCCAGCTGAGGCTGAGGTAAAGTCTCTCATCTCCTACATCCTGATCACACTGAGATCTTTCTTCCCAGCAAACAGGGGGCAGAGGGATGTGGTCTCCTCACAGCCTTCTATAGGCAGGCTGTATCTAACAGCATGGGATGTAACAGCTCTGTCCTCCTGCACTTCAATGTAGATCCTAAAGCAGCATGGGGGAGGAGAAGGATGGAGGAACCTTGTTTAAAAAGCTGTCCTTAGGGTAAGAAAAGACACAAGTGGGTGTAACCATCTGGAGGGAACGGGAGGGGGAGGATGAAAGAAGTGTTAGGAAGAACATGTTTTCCTATAGGGCTCTCATGGATGTGTCTGAACCCACAAAGGCACCTAATGAGCCAGGCTCCCTGTTAATTACACAGCAGTCAACCACCGAGCCCAGATGGTCACATGGGCTTTGCAGGCCACAACATATCCGTGGCATTTCTCTGCTTCCTCCTGAAGCTGCACACACCAGGATGAACTTTCCACCAGCTCCATCCTGGTGTGGCCTCTGGAAGAAGCAGCCAGCACTGCCATGTCACCTGCCAAGCTCTGCATGGCCTCTGCCCACATTCACCTCTGGAAATGCTGGCAAGTGAGATGACTGCCTGACTTCATGCTTTTCCTGGGACAACGCAGTAGGTGGATGCATATGTATAAGGAAAAGCATTAGCTTAATCTTTAATCTGTCTAATTGCCTTTAGGGCATATGAAAAGATGTAATAAACCTGAAATCTCTCACAACTAGAACCCAAGTAAATTTCTGATGAAAGAATGGTGATGCTTTTAGAAATAGTAAAGGTTTTTCCTCTGTTCTGTTTTGTTTGCTTTTACAAAACTACCATTAAACACAGGGTGCATCAGCATCCTTAAGGCCAGTGATAGTACTAATACCTACAGAAAAAAATTAATTTGCCTGAGAAAAATATTAAGAAACAGCCATTTAATCAAATATTGGCAGTGCTATGAAAAACTTCACTGACTCCTTCTTGCCCATAACCTTGACCTGAAAAATCAACTCAGTATCAAATGTGATCATTTAGAGACGCAGTGGGGGGTTTTTTCTTTAGGCTCCTCTCTATGTAGGAAAACTGCAAGGCAACAGGGTGTAATCTTAGGATCCCCTTGAGTGTAGGCATAGGTGGCACAGAGGTTCCTGGTGGGAGAGGCTGGTTCCCCTGGAGGTGGCTGCCTGGAGATGGCTGCAGGCACGTAATGGCAGACTGCAAGGAATTTGTGCAATTATAATTTGAGTCACCCGCTTGACAGGGATAATGAGGCAGAGAAAGGGCAAGAAGTGTGGCCGTAGCAAATCTGCTCCTGAGCCAAGAATAGACAGGAGCTATCTCAGCTCAAGTTTGTCCTCGACCACAAACCCATTCTTCCTAAAATCTCTTCCTGTTGTGCTGACTGAGCAGAGCCGATTGTGCTCTCTGGTGGCGGGGGAGCCAGCGCTGTCCTCACCCTGACACTGAGCAGCATCCAGCCTCTCAGTGCTTTCAGAGGGCTGCTGGCCCTGGAGGCACAGGGGCCAGGAGCCCGAGCAGCTGCTGCCTGTCATCCCTCTCCAACAAGGAGGGGAATTCCCTGCCCGGCTGACATCTCGCGCCTCTCAACAATGCTGCAGTGAAATCCACCTCGTCGTAAACTGCTCGTGCAGCTCAGCTCCCTTGCATGCCCCAGCACCCGTGCTGGTCAAGAACCACAGCCTGGTGTGGCTTCCCTGCTGTGCTCCCCAGGGTTTGCTGTGCCGTGCTGGAGGCCCAGGAGCAGCACTGTGCTCTGCTGTGCCCACGGGGAGTGGGTGCCCACCAGGAAGCACAGCTCAGGTAAAAATTTCCTCTTTGGTATTCAGTGCTTTCAGGCTTGCCAGTTTGGCTGAGAAAACATCTGTGAACCCTCAGAGAGAGCTGTTCCATGCTCCCCAAAGCCAGGGAAGGCCTCCTGTTGATGCTGCAATACACTGCACAGGTGAAACACTGCTATGTTTTTGGAGGAAACATTTGCTGAAGGAGTTTGAGATTTCCCCTCCTCCTTGCTTGCATGCACAACTGTTGGTTGTGCAGCCAAATGCTGCCCAGGCCCGTGGCCCTTCCCAGGCATGCCACCATTCTGCTTCCCCCTTCTGATGAGGAACAGCCCCATGCCCTCTTCCTGCACGCATGCCTGCACTTCCAGGCAGTGTGGGCACATGACCCTGGGCTCCAGGCCTCAGCCCAAGTGAGGCTGGGGTTTGGCCAAGCCAGGCCTGCCCAGGCTCCCCAGCCCAGCACAGAGCCCGTCCTGTGCCCGGAGTGAGCCGTGACAGATGGTGCCAGCCTTTTAGCGAGGCTTAACTGAAGCGGCACAAATACGCTGCTGATGTTTAAAGGACAGGTTAAACATCATTAATTCTGTGTGCAGGAGAGTTTCTGGTTTTGCATTTCCTCTCTCCCCTCCTCCCCACACTGCTCCTTGCAAACCACAAGCATTTTGAGCTGGAGGCTGAACAAACCTCAAAGCCTCAGGAAGATGCAGCACTGAGCACTTGAGTTTTTGTTTCTCTGAGGTATTTGCACTTGAGAGCTTCTCCTTGCTACTGAATTTCTCATTTCCCCATGGAGTCTGGCTTGCTATAAACAATGCCTGCATGTTGTTGCTATGTAGGTCCAGCTGGAATCTGCCTACAGTGCAAAAGAAAAAAATTATATCTAAATTCAGAAAGCCACCCACTGACAGGCAATTTGCATTTTTATCTGGAAGATTTTTTTTAAAAAAGATTTTTCTAATGAAAGTTCAGCTCCTGAGTTTCTATGGAAACTCATCTGCTTGGTGTGCATGCATAATTTCATAAAGTCAGATCTCAGGAAGAGGAGCAATTAGTATAAATACAAGCAGGAATGTGATTAAGGGTTTCATCCTCTTATTCCTGAAGATGGAGGGTGGGACCGGGGTTTGTTGTCTTTCCTCAGTTTCTATTTGTCTTTTTGCCAAAACAATGCAGAAACTGGTGTACAAGGTAGTCTGACTCCTCTGCCACCTCCTGGCTAGCACTGGCACTTCTGGTTTTGCCCAGTGATTTTCCTCCCAAAGATGACAAGTACCTCTAAGTATGGCCCTCTCTGTCAGTGGTGTTGGTACTGAGTCAGACTCTAAGGAGCAATGAGGACAGGCTTATTTTTAAAACTCAAGTGTATTATAAATAGTAAAAAAATCCAAACCAACTCAAAAGGTGAGTGGGAATAATTTTTCCTTCAAACTCCTGTGGGCAGCCCAGCCCCCCTGTCAGCCACACAGAGGCATTTCATGTCCTGCTTGCACCAACACAGCTGCACAGTGCTGGGGTGTGACTTCACTCACTCACTCCTCACTGGAGAAGGTCTGAGGGTAACCTCCACAAATGAATTTGATTTCTTCTGAAGGTCTGAAGATGCACCTTGGCTCTTGTAAACAGAGGCAGAGTGCTGAGGGCAGAGCTCAAGCCAGACTGTAACAGACAGCGCTGAGAGCTCTGGCAGAAGCTCAGCTGAGGTGAAGGGCTCGGCACAGCCGGCCCGGGACGGTCTAGCAGGGGACTCAGAGGGCTGAGAGGGGACAGCCAATCTGGTCTGCTGATTTAGTGTGCCTTATGCTGACAGCTGGACTCCTGAATTGATGGTTTTTAATTTCAGGGAACAGAGGGTGCCTATGGGAAGCTTTTTCAAAAGTATTTTTGACCTCGTCTGCATGCAAAACAAACAAAACCTAAACCACTTCTATGGTGACACTGCACTGGACTCCCCTGCCTTCAGTGATGTGATACTTAGTAACTGATACTTGAGTGAGGCTATTTTTGTTTTAGAATAGGAGAGCCGTGTTTCAATTTAAGTTAGATGAGAAAAAAAGTGACTTATTTTCAATTTTCACTAATAAAGAAAGTGAACATAAGCTACACTTGAAGTCCCACTTCCAGAAGGTCATGAAATTTCAACCTGTGCTTTTATTTCCTTAGGGTTTGACAAAACCTCTTCAAATGTTAGCTCTTAAAATTTCCAGAAAATAGTGCAGGAAAGACATTATGGAAGACTACATGTAAGTAAGCCTCATGTACAAGCTGGAGTTTATTTTTAGTAAAGAAATCAAAACTTCCTTTGCAAATGTTTAGTTCAAACACCTGATGAGCTGCAGGGAGTTGTCTCCTTCCAAAGAGGTGGCACAGATTAGCTTGTTCTTTCCTTTAGGGCTTGTATTGGAAAGAGATGTCCAGAAAAACACATCATTTCATTCCTGGAAGGTTGCTTTTTGTTGTATTTGCAAGGTCATCTAATTTTTGGAGTATTTGTATAGGTGGACTAGACTCTATCCTTTACAAATGGATTTTAATAATCACATTAAATGCAAATTCTCACTGTCTCTTTGCCTAAGACTCTAATTCCAAAGTGAGATTGTCTCTGATGCTTGTCTCTATTTAGCACAGCATTTCTGCCTATTATTGTCTGAATACCCCAAGAAGTTTCCAGAATTAATCAGACTTTGCTGCTGGGCTTCCTTAAGTGCATTATTTAATTAATTTCAAGGTAAATGCAGTATCCCTACTGTTTACTCCAATCTGTAATGTGGACATGTCCCTTGTGGTTAGTAGGAGGGTAATCAG